CGGAATGGCGATTACCATTTCAAGAGACGCTGATCAGCCCATCGCCTCGCCGTATTTTGGTCATATGCAGGTTACTCTCTGTTCGTGTCCTGCTAGCAGGCGGAAAAGGCAATGGCGCTACTTGCCCAGGATTCAGTTGCATCAAACCATTTTGCGTCGCACCGTTTTTGTTTTCTTTTTATTCTTGAGCACGTAGTGAAGCTGCGTGCTTGCATCAAGACTCTAGATCTTGTCTCTCTCAGTATTCTCCGGATCGAGATCGAGCAGAAGGAATCCGACATGCAGCGAAAAGCGTTTCTATCGCCAGTGTGAAACTACCTCACTGTGGAAAGCTCGCGGTTTTGAAACTGATAAGAAAGAAACCTCAGCGGTGCGAGAAGTGTTAAATTTGGCACAGTACAGTTAGGCACGGAAAGAGAATATGAGATGAGAGCGTGCAGTGACTTCAGAGTGCCAAGCTTTGATTGGAAGGAAAGTGGGTAGATTTATAGGCTATCTGTCTTTGTCTTTACTTTCTGTGTCTCTTCAATCAAGAACGATCACAACCGTCGTCGCCAGTTCCTCACACAGAGTCGGGTGTTCGAACGCCGAACTCCGTACCATGCGAGAGGACCAGGCGACGTTTTTGTTTGCTATATTCAGTGGTAATAAAGACAAACTGGCAGCTAGCCTTTGCGACTGCCCCCTATTTTTCCAAGGAAAGCTAGGCACTCTGACGTCAGCTCACTCCTTCAGTTTCTCTCAGACATGTACGAAACGCGTTACTAGTAACGAGTTACTTCTACCTTTAGTCTGTTGCAACTGAAGAAGGCGGGGCTTAAAGTCTCTCTAGCGTTCCGCCTGCTTCCTCCTCCCCGGCTTTCCTTTCTATCGCCCTACCTTCTTGAGTTGCAACGGACTATAGTTACTTTTTTCGGTAACGAGTAACGTATTTAGTTACCTTTCTAGAAAAAGAACGAGTAACGCATTTAGGTACTTTTTAGGCCAAGTAACGAGTAACGGTATTTTGTTACTTTTGATGAGTAACGTGTACAACAGCAGTCTCGTTCTGATTCGAACCTGAGTATGCGTCTATTGCAACAAAGGCAGACAAATAACCCCCCCTCCCCCCCCCCCCCCCAAAAAAAAAAAAAAAAAAAAAAAACTCAGCAGTAGTACAGTATAGCAACGTTTATAGTTGAACACGCCTGTCCAACTCTACAGCTGGGAATGTCTCTCCCCCAGAGAACACAATAAGGTTCGTTGGTTGAACTTTCTAAAATCGTGTACAGACCGAACGTAAAGCCGGTTGTTGCCAACACGGGAAGGCACAGAACCCATTGTCAACTTCGAACTTCAGAAGCAGCTAGAGCAAGAGAGAGAGAGAGGCGGGAATCCCAGATTCACCAGCTCTTGCTGAAGGACAACAGTGTCCTTACTTCGAGCGCGTCAGTAGTACGACTCTTCAGCGTCGAGGAGAAGTATTCTCAAGGAAGCGGGGAAACATAATTGATGAAAGCTTGGGGAGGTAGGTACTGCTAAATAACTACCTAAAAGAAGAAAAGTAAAGCATGAAACAAAAGCAGTTCAGTATTTGGTCGTCAAAGCGACGAAAAAGTAACGGGTTCCCTTTGAGAATCAGTAACGAGGAACGTATTTAGTTACTTTTTGAGCGAGTAACGAATGACGGTTTTTAGTCATTTGTTTGGGTAACGTGCACATGTATGGTTGCTCTCCGCACATAGAACGGATTTGGCGCTGCGCTGGGCGGGCATGTGTGAACCGGCCTTTTGTTTCAAGACGTAGAAACTTGCAGCGTTGTTATACTGAATAAAAAAAGAATTCTAAAATCAGGTAAGCTCTTTTTAAATATTAAAACCTGCCATGGAGTGAACCACGCCTTCCAGTCTTCAGACCCTATAACGGAGATGACGGATGCATTACGTTTAAATGGTCTGAAATGCTTCACCGGCGACCTTTCTTATGGAACTGTCCGTGCTTGCATGGCCCTTCATAGATCGAGGCTCTCCGGAGATAACGCCGCTTATTTTCCCGCCCCGCGTCCGCGAGGCCCCCACACGCAGAAGACGAACGACACGGAGTACACCTGTAGACAGGCGCGCAGCCGTCGCGCGCCCGCCCCTGCCTTATCTTTTGAAACACGTCCCCACGAGAGAGCCGGACACCGCCGACAGAAGAAACGGATCAGCGAGAAGAAAGAAAAGAACAAAAACAAAAAAACGAGCCAGCCCGGCATGGGGGGGATTTGTACAACCTACGCATACACGCGATGTATACGTCTAAATGAAGGGCCCCGCCTGTCACTCTGATTACAGGGCAGCCCGTCTCTAATGGCGGGGTTCCTGCGTTCCCTCCGCCTGCCGTGGGGAAGCTCGGAGGTGGGAGCAACGCCACGGTAATTGTTGGTTTCGTCCGCCGCTGCCACCGATGCATCTCGAGATCCTGCTGCAGCAGTGGAGGCCGCAGCCGTCCGCTTGCTACCTGCCTGCCTCACAAACTCTCGGCTGCGTTGTTTCACCGTACGATGGACCGCAGCTGACGCCAAGCATCTATTCGAGCCAGTCCAGCGCTGCAAAGGCATCACGTGACTGCAAACCTTGCGGAACATAGCCGCGCCCTTCCCGAAGGTCGTGTTACACGCCAACGGCATTGGATTGGCTTTAATGACCAGCGTAGCGGCTTCATCGATCCATCGTAAGGTGAAACTGAGAACACCTTCATCCTTCATCCGTCGAGCCTCTCTACGTAGACATCGCCTGCGACTGGTCCTCTTTTTTAAACGACTCTCCTTCCTCCGCTGTAGACCTCCACCTCCTACTGTGGCGGCTGGTTGTTGTTGTTCCTTTACATCTGTGACAACCCAACCACCGCTATACTCCCTTGAACCCTAAGCTGACGCTGCTGTCGAAACTACGTGCTCGCCGGACCAATCAGCCGTCTCCCTTTCATCACCTGACCCCCACTCTGTGCACGGGGGTATGGGCGGGAGTGTGATCACGTACGGAAAGATACACGTCTGACTGGTCCAAGAGGGCACGTAGCTTTAACCGCACTATCAGCTTAGGGGTGAACGAAGTATATACTATTACCAACGTGCGTTGTTTCTTCTTCATCTTCGTCTTGTTGGTCTAGTTTATGTTGTTCGTTTTTGTCTCGCGTGTTACTGACTTGACTGGCGTGGTCACGGCTCTCGTCTCGGCGCTTTCCTCTTCTCTCGGCACCGTTTATTTGCTCTAAGTGGAGTTCTCTTGTCTCTCTGTTGGGGGCTTCGTGTTTGCACTAAGCACGATGTACTTGACGGGTTCTTGAAAAGCCGCCACGCAATCTACGTCTCAAAGAGCGGGAGGGGCCCCGCTGCGCACACTACTTCGCTCGTCTTGTTTTGGGTACGCGTCTCGAGGGGGTGAGGTCTTTGAGGCTGACTGCGCTCTGCGAACGCTTTGACGTAAGGGTCGCTTTCTCCTTGCGGGTCGCGGTGTGCGGCGCTCCCAGCTGAATGAATGGATGGCTCTTGCCTCTCTTCTGACAGCTTCATACAATTTTCTTTTCGTACTTTTGAGAGTTAGTGTGCGAGGACACCGGTTTCTACGTTGCGTGGGTCAGGTGGCTTCTTCACGTCGAAGCGTGCACTATTGACGACATCCGAGTTTCGGAAGCCGGGAGCTTTAATAGCGGGTGCCGCCCATCGGCACGAGCATCCTGCAAACAAAGAAAGCGTAATTTCACTACGTTATACGGCATCATGTGTGCTCATGTGTGCTCACTGCATTATGTGGGCTCAATAAACAAACCGCGCTGTTTTTCTTTTTTCTATGTTTTGTTAGCAAAAGGAGATGGGGTGATGTGTGTTCAAATTTGCAGTAGTTTGCTTCCCTGTGGATTCAGTAGATTGAGTAGCACCACTTGTCGCTCGGGACACATATAATATCCGTGATCACTTTTCTTAATTTTTTTTTATTTTTTTAGGGTGAGGTAAGTAGTGTTTTGCGGCCACGGACTAGAAAGGCATTAGATATACTGTACATTAAAAACAAAAGCGTGTGAGCGGCAGGTTGAACGCATATATGAAAATACTCGTAAAAGATTCAGACTGAGATGATACACAATACTGTTACAAACACTACAATAAAAAAAAATATGAACAATACATTCCAGAAAAACTGGCAAAGCTCCTTATCTGAGTTTCGGGGTTGTCTGTATATGCTACGGTGCAATATGTCGATTCGTATGAAGTTGAACTCCCGCCACCAACTTCGAGGCTCTTATTTATTTTCACTTTTTCCCTAGTTAACACCAACAGACTCAGTTAAAAAATTCTTTGAGTTTTACTTTCTTCGTTGCTCATGATATTTTCAAGAAAAACATTACAGGGAGATTCATTGAGGGATCCTTAGGGAATGCGTTAGCAAAACCCTTGGAAACGCCACACATGTTCCTCTTTGGATAACGCTAATGCTGACCCTTTCACTTTTCGATTTTGGCGTTATTTTTTGGTTTCCTCTATTTGTTGCCTCTTTTTGGTCTCCTTACGGTGTCAGTGTTGGCCTTTCCCAAAGGGGGGCGCGTGCGGAGTTTTGCAAGGGTCATGCTAACGGATTCCCGAATAACCACCTATGGATCTTCCATTCATTTTTTTCACCCCTTGCTTGTATTCTGCCTGTCGGAGTACGTCGATGCCTTTGGATACGGTCATACATTTCACTCGTGGAGAGTACTGTTGTAATTGAGTTTACGAATCGCCACCAGGGTGTCCCTTTTCCTTTAATCGCCCTTGTGCGCGTGAATAAAGAAGAAGTGTAGCAGCGTTCGTCGGGGCTGGACGTGTCCTTTTTCCTTCGGCGTGTCCGCTTGGCCGCGGGCCGCCGCTGCCCTCCACGCCATCGTCGTCGTACCGTAAGCCTTCCTGCGCATATATCCTAATGCAGTATAGCACCTCAAACACTACATTCTGGCGACGAGATTGGGATAACTGAGATCGAGCTACCTCGACAGATTTCAAGATGTCGGGGTTCGCGAGCACAGCTCCTCCGCCATTCATGCTAATACCGGGTGCCCCCGCGCTACCCTGGGCGATGTGGAAATTAATTTTTTTAAACCACTTAGATGCTATCGATGCCGACGCATTCACCCCGAGACGGAAACGGGCCCTGCTAATTGGAATGCTTGGCCAGGAAGGTCAACGGATCGTGTCCACCTTCAACCTAGCAGGAGCTGCCGTTAGCGCCGAGCTTACTGAATTCGACGTACTGCTCCAGTCATTAGATCGACACTTCGGCTTTACTACCAACGTAGTTCTCGAACGCAAGAAATTCTTAACTCGGGTTCAGGCCCCAGGAGAAAGCGTATTGGAATTCCTTGGTGCTTTGCGTCACCTGGGCTCCTTTTGCAATTTCGGAGCGACTTTAGAAGATCGCATCGCCGAGATTTTTCTGGCTGGACTACGATCATCAGAGGTACAAGATCGCTTAATCCGAGAGGCTGCGGGGGCTCAGCCACCAAGCCTCGAACGTGCTGTACTCCTTGCTCAGCAGTTCGAGCAGTCCTCTCGCGATTGCGATCAGTACCGCCAGCTATCAACAAATTTAAACTCGCAAGTACAGTCTTGTGTTGAGCGGGTCTTCGCGCCGCGGACGCAAGACAACGCCGCTCGACCGTCACCGTCATCAGGCCGTGTCCAAGACGGCGAGCGCCAGCAATTCGTTGCCTCCTCATCCCGAGCTGAAGGTTTCAATTTATCTCCGCGCCACCAACCGCGCCCATCGGCTTGTGTTTGCGAGCGACGACCAGCACGTGACGCCCCTCTGGGAGCGCGTGCTTTCCGTTACGGTGCACCATTATGCGACTTTTGTGGCCGTCAACCCCACCCTCGGGACCGATGCCCCGCGTCGGGGGCTACGTGTTTTTCATGTGGCAAAGCCGGACACTTCGCCAACGTGTGTCGGAGTCGTCCACCTCCATCCGCCTGCGATCGGCGCCAGCTGGCCTTTCCCGCTGGGCGCGGCCGAGGATCCGGTCGCCGACTTCCGCCAAACGGAGGCAACCGAGCGCGGGCCCCCATCCATGGCATCGTGACCTTCCCCGAGGAGGACGAGGACGAGGAGATCCTGTCCACTGTCTACACCGTTAGACCGGCCAGAAGTCCTTCGCAGCATGACCGTCACCGTAGCCTCAACTTCGTAGTCGACGTGGAGGTGAACAATTTTCCCATGTCCCTTCTGATTGACACTGGGTCCGAAGTCTCAATTCTCTCTGAAGCGACGTTTTCACGGCTCACGACCTCTAAAGAACTACAGTTAAGAAAACCGCCACGGACCCTCGTCCATTATCTGCGAGGGCAGATCCCCGTTTTGGGTTGTTTTTACGGACTTGTCAAATTTCAGGATCGGTCGGCGACTATTCTTTTTTATGTTGTTCGTGACGGCCGATCGCTCCTTGGCACCGATGCCGTGCGCGATCTGAAACTTATCCCTTCGGGCGCGTCTCTGACGTGTCGTATCGTTCATACAGGTGGCTCCCGTTCAACCATCCCGGGACATGTGACACCGGCTGGTGTTTCACAGCCAACGAGTCCCAGTCCATCAGGTTCTTCAGACGAGTCTCAGAGACCTTCGAAAGTATCTTCAGATCCATTGAACATGCCCAGTCCTCTAAATCGTTTTTCAAGTATCCCACATGAGCCATCTGTGCCAGGTGTATCTCCACCGAGGACACCAAGCACAGCTACGTCGAGGGACGTTTCCAAGCTTCCTGCTGGCTTCGAACATTTCGAAGATCTCTTTTCACCTGGTCTAGGTCTGGTAAAAAACCAAACCCATACGATCACCGTCCGTCGAAATGTGCCGCCAGTTCAAGCCAAGCTCCGTCGACTGCCGATCACCCTGCGTGACGTAGTAACGGCGGAGCTCCTGAAGCTCGAGCAGCAGGGAGTTATCGAGCGCGTGAGTGCTTCGGAGTGGGTTTCGCCCATCGTGGTTGTTAAGAAGAAAGAGGGCGGCATCCGTATGTGTGTGGATCTCCGAGCGCCGAATAAGGCCATTGTTGTCGACTCTTTTCCGCTCCCACACATTGACGAGCTGTTGAACTCCTTAAGTGGAGCATCCCATTTTTCCAAGTTGGATCTCGCATCAGCATACTATCAGGTCCGTCTTGATCCCAAAAGCCGTGACCTTACAGCGTTCATCACTCATGAAGGCCTTTTTCGTTTCACACGAGTTTGTTTTGGCCTGGCTTCCGCGCCTGCAGCGTTCCAGAAGATCATGTCTAATATCCTTAAAGACTGCAAGGGCGTACAGTTTTACTTGGACGACGTCATTGTGTACGGTTCGTCTCAGCAAGAACACGATGAAAATCTGCATACTGTGCTCCAGAAAATTTCCCAAGCTGGGATGAAACTTAATAAGAAGGCCGTTTTTAGTGTCCATGAGCTTACTTTTCTCGGACATAGTCTGTCGGCGGGAGGCTTAGCGCCCCTTCCGTCAAAGATAGACGCCGTTCTGAATTTTACGGCGCCATGTGACCCTTCTCAGTTGAAGGCATTCTTGGGCCTTGTCGAATATTACAGTAAGTTTATCCAGCACTGTGCCACCATTGTGGAGCCCCTTCGTCGTCTTCTACGCAAGGGTGTGACTTTCGTCTGGTCGTCCGAAGCCGACACCAGTTTCCAGCAGATCAAGGACTGCATTCAGCAGGCACCCATTTTGACTATGTTCGACCCTTGCCTCCCAGTTGTTGTGTCCACGGACGCCTCAAACTACGGGCTGGGAGCTGTTCTACAGCAACAGCATGGATCCCAGCTGAGGACTGTTGCTTTCGCCTCCCGTTCACTCACGGAAGCAGAGCGAAAATACTCAACTGGGGAGAAAGAGGCTCTCGCAATCCTCTGGGCCTGCGAGAAATGGCACATCTACCTCTGGGGTCGACAGTTTACCATCCGGACCGACCACCAAGCATTGGTCACCCTGATGTCTACGCAAAAAGCTGGCGTTCGCCCATTGCGCATCAGCCGCTGGGTTGCCAGGCTCTTCAATTACAACTTTGTAATGGAGTACCGCAAAGGAACCGACAATGTCGTTGCTGATGCCCTTTCTCGCCTTCCAGTTCACGATACTGAAGATGGTACGACTTTTAGAGAAGAAATTGTTTCCATCGTCTGCGCTTCCCTCACAGAGAAGGATTTCCAGGAGGCAACTTCACGAGACCCTGCGTTGCGTGAAGTCATGAAATATACTTCATCATCATGGCCAGAGGAAGGCAAGCCATCTCCAGAACTCAGGTCATATTTCGTTCTTAGAGATCAACTTTCCGTGGTCGACGGACTCCTTTTCCAAGGGGAGAAGATCATCGTGCCGCCGAGTCTGCGCGACAAGGTTATCCAGATCGGCCATGAGACCCATCAAGGAATATCGAGGACGACGAGTTTTATAAAGGAACTTTATTGGGGGCCACATATCGCAGAAAACATCAAGAACGTAATCCAGCATTGCACTGTTTGTCACTCCACCGACAAGCCCGCTAAGGCTTCCCCGGCGCCCCTACAGCCGGTAGCATTTCCTTCCCGTTCGTGGACCAAGCTTGCCATCGACATCGTTGGGCCGTTTGAGCAAGCCCCACCAAAAGAACGTTACTTCATTACTTTGGTGGACTACCACAGCAAGTGGCCGGAAGTGGCTTCGTCCCACAACGTCACGACAGCGTCAGTCGTTGACTTTTTGAAATCGATTTTTTTCTCGAGAGGGCCTGCCTCTCGAGATAACAACAGATAACGGTCCACAATTCACATCCCATGAGTTCAACCAGTTCCTACAGACAAATGGCATAAAACACGTAAAATCTTCCCTTTATCACCCTCAAGGTAATGGGCAAGTTGAAAGATTCAATAGAGTCCTAAAGTCCGTCATCCAGTTGGCAATGGTGCAACGCCGTCCGCTTCGAGAGGCCATCACTGAATACCTTGGAGTTTATCGAAGCACTCGGCATGCGGCCACAGGTGAAACCCCGGCGTTTCTGCTGCATGCAAGAAATCATCGGACTCGCCTACACATCCAAGGACGAGCAACTCCGGATCCACCTCTACCTCGGCACATTGTCCAGCGCGACCTGCCGGAAAGGGTACAGGCGTACCAAGCAAAGATGAAAAAGTACTCGGACTCAAGGCGAGCAGTGAAAGTGCCATATTTTAAAACAGGACAGTATGTAAAGGTCCATAAGCCAAGACACCATGGTAAATTTCAGCACAAGTATTCTGAACCACAGATGATTTCTGCGAAAATTGGTCCTTCTACATATACACTTGATGATGGTACAACATGGAATGCCGACAAATTTACTCGTACACCTCTCAAACCTACGTACTCACACAGATCATACAGATCATCCTGGGCGGCTGATGAAGCTTTGTTTCCTTGTGCACCTCTTCAGCCCATCCCTGCCGTTCCTCCCGTCAGCTTTTCACGAATTCCTCCACCTCCTGGTGTCTTCGGCACTGAACCACCCTCCGTGATTGGTCGTGAAGCGTCGGACAGTGCTCCTCCTCCGCCTGGTCTACATTCTGTAGAATCAGAGCGAAGTTCCCCTAGACCAAGCCATCTGGACCAGTCCTCCCCCGCCAAGTCGTCACCGGAAGTGAGCGGAACTACCGAGTACAGCGAAGCATCAACCTCTGCCAGATCTGCTTCACCAACTCCGGATCATGACAATATCGAACAGGAGCAACCTTCTCTCATTCCTCTTGGTGGGCTGATGAATGACTATCCAGCTTCACGTCCCCCAGCCCGACCGCAGCGACCCAAGCAACGACCAGCTTGGCTCGACGACTATGTCTGCGATTATGTGTGTGCTGAATGAATTTTTGTGCCCTGTGTGCTCATGATGAAACGTGGCGGGATAGGATGTGTTGTAAATAGTTTTGGTTCCCAGATTTATTTCGTTCTTCATGTTCTCTCTTTTTTTTATTTTACGGAAGGAAGAAAATGATATGTTGTAAATACCTTTCGTAGCCTGATAGATTTCGTTTCTTTTTGCTCTCCTTTTGCTTTATTTTATGAAGGGAGAAATGTTGTAATTGAGTTTATGAATCGCCACCAGGGTGTCCCTTTTCCTTTAATCGCCCTTGTGCGCGTGAATAAAGAAGAAGTGTAGCAGCGTTCGTCGGGGCTGGACGTGTCCTTTTTCCTTCGGCGTGTCCGCTTGGCCGCGGGCCGCCGCTGCCCTCCACGCCATCGTCGTCGTACCGTAAGCCTTCCTGCGCATATATCCTAATGCAGTATAGCCCCTCAAACACTACAAGTACCACATCCATACCACTCATGAAAGGAACCGCATCCATATGACTCGTGGAGGGAACCGCATCCATAGTTTTAACGACAGACATATCACAGCCCACGCACAGCTGCCTCGGAAACCCAGAGCGAAGAAAAACCGGCGACGGCAGAGCGACAACTGAGCACGCCCGTAGCCTACCGTGCTGCGGCGCGTCCGCTTCTCTGGCTCAGCGCCAGATGTGTGCGTGACTGACGAAAACGAAAGAGATCGTTTCGTTAAAAACCCGGCGGTGTCTGTCACTTTGTCAGCGCCGAAAAAAGAAGGAGAGGTTGACGAGCGCTGACGTCAGCGCTTTGGACCAATGGGAGCGTCGCACACGTTTACCTCTCTCCCTCCTTCTCCCTCTCACCCCGGCGCTGACAAACAAAAGACACCGCCTGGTTTTAGTCAAAAAGAGCGTTTTAATGCGAACGTATTAACATTAAAAGACGGGCCGGCTTTTTGCGTGCATCTTGAAAAGATAGTCCAGAGAAAAAAAGGCACACACCCACATACTTATACCCCAGTCAGGCAGGCTAATTTGGTGCACTTCAAGTCTTTAACCAAGTGCACATCAGGTCATCGAATGTCACTTCAAGTGTTCTCTTGCCACACAAAATAAATTAGTTTCACTCGGAAATGAGGATGATAACGATGGGTAAAGTACTATTAGACCCATAAAATGTTAAAGTAAGGGCATAAACGTCGCATAAATCTTTAGTCTTTTAATAAAGACACGTTACAAGCAACGTTACGTGAATTGACAATATTTA